AACAGAAGCACAGAATTGGAGAATGGTCTCTTTATTGCCTTGTCCAGGATCCCAGTGTCACAAGACTCAGGTCGTAAAATCCCTTTCATAAACATACTGGGGTCTAGCTGTAGATGTTTTGCTCTACCTCTTTCACTGAAAAGCCGCTTCTGATCCTCTGTTCTCTAAAACTCTCAGGAAGTCTAATTGCTACAGTGGATTTAGGATACAGCCACTTTATACCTTTGTCTCCCTGCCACTGTTATCTTCTAAACAATTCCTTTCCATCCTGGTGGACTATTTCTCCAATAACCTATGTGAGATAATTCACTTAACAACAATCCTGTCTTCACTTGCATAGGCAGGCAAAATCCAAGGAGTACACAAATACTATACAAAGGACAATGACAAAAAGAAAAACTATGCAGGCTTGGAAACAGGTAGTTTAATTATAAAATATGAAATGAAAAATGAAATAACATATCAAGGAGCATTTTATAAGTGTAGCCCAGAACTGCAGCTAACTCATATATGCAGTTGTGCTGCTGTTACTGATAGGGTACCTGTCTGGGCAGAATGGAATCTTTGTGCAAGGTTCATCAAGAAGATGCTTCCTTTCAGTGCAGAAACAATATGCATGCTTTCTAAATGCCTTCTTAGAATGGGGTTTTGGTGTGCTGGATCCAATCCTAGCCCCAGACTTGGTCAACTGTTTATTACTTTATATATACTTATTTCTTTATATTTCTATTATACTTATTATACTTATTCCTTTACAATAAAAAATTACGTAGGTCTACTTGAGCCTTTATATGACTTTGTCCTGAATGATTAAGGATAGCAAACCAAATATATTTATATAAATAAATGTTTTCTTCAAATTTATAGTAATGATTACACTAAAAGATCTTAATCAGAATTACTTGCTACACAATGTAGATAGCTATAAGTACTAGTATAGCGCACTATTTATTGAGGCAACATTGAATCAGTTATATTAATGTTAGCAAAATAATTCAGTAGATATTGATATTGCCCTACTCTACCAATGATCATGGACACATCTCTGGCTTAGCCATGAGGACTAACCCTGAGGGGTGTGACTATTCAAGGGGGAAGTAACCACATGCATTCTGAGGAGGAATATGTTAGAAGATCTTACCATTACAAAGTGGGACTGGGCTTTTATAGGGTAAGTGACTATCAGCTAAATGTCTCTAGGCCAGCTGTCTCAAGTCAGCAGCTTTAGATAAGTTACCAGTAATATCCCTGATTCCTTTTTCAGGAACCTTGTATCACCATGGCCAGTTTGCCAGGAAACACTGTTTTTCCCCAGAATGTTTTAAGTTCAGAACTGATGAGTCAGGCTAGTTTCAGCATTCTGCAATACCAAAAGCAGTGTGTGCCCTCTCCTCCATCCATCACTGGTGGGTTTTTCAAATAGGGTGTTATTCAAGCTGGCTTACCCTCACTCTAGGCAGAACATTCTGCTACAGTACCTGAGGCATATCAATTAACGAATGAAGCTCAAAACGTGCAGATCAACAAAAGGTGCATGACTTATATCAACACCTGGCACACAGCAGATATGTAGATAATGACCTTTGACTGGAGAAAATCCTTGGCCTTTTCTGCATGGTACTGGGATCCTGTCTATGTAGTTGATTTTTGTAATCACTTCCTACCATTCTTCACAGCTTTCCATATTTGAGTCAAGAAACTTTTAGCTTCTGCCCATGAGCAATTCTCCTGTCAGGCCAAAATCACAACTAAATATCAATGTTTTAGACAATAACCAGTCACCTGGAAGCACTAGGAGTGTTATATTTTCCCAGTGCATAGTTTGGCTTCCAGAATAATGGTGTATGCAGTATTAGAGACCAGATAGTCGGCAACAACTAACTGAGCAGAGTTGGCTTGTGCCCTGAACTGGCTTCCACAGCATGTCTTGTTCAAATCTACCTCGGCTGAAGCAAGAAAATGCTTCCCAGCCTTGGACTCCTTGTACCCTTTTCTCTGAAGTCTGGAGTACAACTGTACAACTCAGCATTGTGGAAATACTGGGAGTACCCAACCCAACAACTTCCCCCAGTGGAGGTTCTAGGAGGATAGGGGCTCCAACCTTCTGTCCTCTTGCAGCAGTTGTCATAAGCTTTAGTTTTGGAAAACTGAACAACTCTGTAGAAATGAAGTTTGAGATGTTTTATAAAGGAACCAAACAGCTCTTTATACACTCTAACATAGTGGCAATTAAAACACTGGCGTGAGTAGTCTCTTCTGAAGTTAAACTGTTAAACCTATGTTAAGAGAATAATTTATGGGACAGTAGAAATCATTCCAAGTCACAACATATACTAATTTTCATACATCTCTGTGAAATTTAAATAAACTTCACAGATGGGAATTCACGAGATAGTTCATCTCTTAGGTTTGGTGAATTAGAGTCTGTGCATGGTTTTGAGCATTTAACTAAACCAGAAGCAGGCTCTTTCCCAGTATCTCATCAAGGTCTACCCTCTGTGGCTTGCATTTTACTTCACAACTCTTTAGGAGCATAAGGTGCATGCATAGCAAACATAGAGAAAAATCAAAGACTGCATGGAGGTCTAAAATGTTGCTTCTGCTCAATAAATTTTTCAGAAAGCTGTCTTGCTTTCTCAGTTTTCTTACCAGTCTAAGGGACATCTGTGCACTAGGACTTCAATATTTTGGGGGTGTACAGAAACATGGCTCAGCAGTTATAACTTCTTATATGAACTAGGAAGTTCTTTGAACCCACAGTGCTTCATCTGACTTTATTATTTTCACAAACAATCTGTGTCCCTCTTGAAAAAAACATTGTTGACCTTCTCCTGTTCCCTATTCTCACCAACAGCTTCTCCTTTCTTAGTGATTTTCTCAGGTTTGTACATCTATTCACTGATACCTAGCCTCTGTTTTGCCGGGTTTGCATAGTTAAGACTGACAATTATCTATTTTACTTCTCTAAGGAGTATGTTCATCATATCACCTGAAAAAAAGTTGATTTCTTACACAAATACTGTGTCCAGTAGAACAGAAATCCTCTTGCTAGCAATGTTGTGATTAGAACCCCAAATTTCTTATTAGATAGATTCCCCCCCTCACCAGTGAAAGCACCACCTTAACCAGCTGAAACTCAGGTAATCATCTCACCTTACTGCTTGAAAAACAGATGTAAGGAATGAGCTTAAGCCCACTGTGCAAATTTCTATTGCATCATTCTTTATGTAAAGTAGTTTCTAACAGAGACTTTGCATGATAAATGTTTCACTTCTCACTTGGAAAAGCCCATTAAGGAAATGTGCTTGTGAGTAAACAAACATTAGCTGCTGAAAATTGCATTGAAAATAAAACCAAAAGTGAACTCAGTAGTTCATTAAAGTCAGCTTTTAACAATATTTGCACAGTGCACTTACCTGTTTCAGCTACTTTTTACCATATGGCTGCATATTGAGTTTGAGTGAAATAATAACAAGCATTGGCTATAAAAAAGTATTACAGAGTGTGCTTGACATATGGTGAGGAAAACCAGGATATCTTGTTGAACCAGATCGTAGTCATTGATCTAAGGCTATACTTTAAGGCCACATGTTTATCAGAGTAAAAGGAAAACCAGATCATTACAAAGGATATGGAAGTTAATGTGAGCGACAAGTTTACAGTCAAAGGTCATTTTGGGTTAGAAGGGACTTCTAAGATTGCTTAGTTGATCCTCATCCCCACAGAAAGAAAAGACAAGTTAGACTTATTCCTAGCAGTGACCCTTTACTGACTGGATGGAGGTGGTTTGTAAAACCTTTCTCTGTAACTACTTTGTGGAGTAGGTAAGTATTGGTTTTGGTGCTAAACTGAATGGTTCTGTCAGATGAAAGAAGAAATTCTGTAAGAAAAGATGACTGCAGTATTTCTTAAGAAATAATAGGGGTTTCTTGATTCCAAAATTCTAAAAGACATTTCAGTTGCTCCCATAATCAGAATCAGCTGGTGGTTTTGTAGTGTGCAGACTTAAGTCTTGCAAGGCATTTCAATTGGCTGTTAGGAATATCTCTTCCACTTCAGTCTTCTTCCAGATAATTAACCTTCTTGATGTTAGCAGCTGCTTTCAGGCAGGTCTATGGTAATGGGAATCAAGAAAATAGTTTGGGTTTAGGCTGCTGCCATTATGAAAGTGAACTTGGTACAAACAGCTCATCTTCTGCTCTGTGCTCTTAATCACAGACCAAACTGCAACTCACACCTACTGAAAAGGTTGCGGTTGTAGAAAAGCTGAAATAAACCTACTGTAAGCCCTTAAAATATCTGGTAGATAGCAGAGGTGCAAAATGAACAGAAATTCTAATCACCCAATTTGCCAGTTGCTCCTGTGCTAAAATGGCAAGTACCTCATTCATACATAGTAAAGCAGGTCAGTGGATTGGAAAAGATTTTCCTTAGCCATACCAGAAAATTCAGTATTGAAAACAAACTCTCTACTTGCTTGTGAAAAATGGTCATCATTAAAGTTCAGTGAACTATGTTTTAGGTGACTATAAACCACTGAGTAGATTCTTTGCACATGTTTTCACAAACATTCCACCAACTTCAGTTGAATTCCTACTTTTTTTCCAGTACACTAAGATGCTGTTGCTTGTGACATGCACCTAATTGAGACAAATGTATGGAGATGAATAGAGGCAGTACATATCAGAAAGGGTAACTGTGTCTTCTTATGCAAGATATCCTCTCTGCCATTCAGAAATGCCAGATGACAATACAAGTAAGTCAAACTCTAAAAATACCTAGTAGTTTTATGGTCTAACAACACCATGACTTGCTGTAAAGCTCAAAACTGTAAAAAACCAAACAAAAAGACAACAACACCACCAAACAAAAACCTTTTTTTTTTTTTTTTTTGCTGTAAAGCTCAAAACTATAAAAAACCAAACAAAAAGACAACAACAACACCAAACAAAAACCCCCAACAACCTTTTTTTTTTTTTTTTTTTTACCCAGCAAACAAACTAAACAACAGCAACAACAACAAAAACCACAGAGAGAACACCCCAGTCAAACAGAATACAAAACCTTCAAACATTTTGCAGACAGTTTGTATGTGAGAACTCACTTTAGCTGTTTGGAGATAACAGCATGTAAAACAGTAGGTGAAGCAGAAAGAACAGAGACTCATCATATCACACATGTATCATATGCTCAGTGGTTTACAGTAAAAGACAAGTCTTGCATGAACTCATAGACATATGTAGACTGGCCAAGCTGCTGACAAGCTAACTTTCACATACTCAGATGTGACAGCTTCATAAGCATCCAGCGAGAGCTGGTGAAAATAGAAACTCATGAGCAAAAATATGTTTCTAGGTATTCTTATAGCTATTGCAGTAAACAATGTTATTGTTCCATTCATAATGAAATAGAGTGGATAGGGGCATAGGAGTGTTATGGAAAACTGAGCTGCCTCTGCCTAGGGATGCCAGGTGAAACCTTTCAGTGTACAATCCAGTAATAGGGAAAGCAGGGTAATGTTTGCCATGCCTGTAAAATGGGCAGGAAATGCTACCCACACTTGTTCTTTGTTGCTCACACCAAGACAGCATTTACTCACCAGTATAAAACAAGGACAAGATGAATTCCATTTCAGCAAGGAACAATGATAACCACTGTAAGCTAATTGCAAAGACTGCAGTATTTATGTTCATGCACATCAATTTCTTTTTTTATTACTTTCATTTCATCTTCATGCAGAAAAAAATAAATAGAAAAATGCAAAATTAACTCTTTCCAGGAACACAGTGGGTTAGATTTTACCATGGCTGATAGAAGAGCAAGGGCTCATAGTTCCCAGCAGACTACAAATCTGGAACAGAGAGAAATTGCTTGGCCTTATGTACTGACCCTTAAATATTGCTAAATGGTGCAAGCCAGAGCAGTTCCTAAGCTGCTATTCCGTATTAAGCTAACCAATGCTTTAAGAAGCTGCCTCTGATTTTCTGACATGTGCATGATTTGCCATGTCAGCAAGGACATAGGACATTGCAAGCCTAGTGCAGATTTGTCTCAGCTGAATCCAATGGCTACAAATGGGTAATTAAAGATGCAATACATAGATATTAAATTACAGATGATGTCAGAGAGAGATTAGTTTTTGTCCTCCACAAGTAAAATCAATGGCAGTCCTGCTTTTTAAAATCACCTGTCCTGGTGAAACAAGAGAGGGTGAATACTGATGTTCTGGTCTCATAGCAGCACTGTAGGTCCACTTTTTGCTGGAATAAATAGCTGCAAAGTGACACTGGAGGAGCAGTTCCCATCCAAATTCAGAGCAAGTGCTATCCAAAAACTTCAAGCAGTGGAACTCTTCTAAAAGCAGGATTATAGCAGAAATAGCTTCCATGTGAATACCTTTCTTCAATCTTGTTACATCTATTTTAGTAGAAAACAGCTTACCATGGCCACTGGTCTTTCAAAACAATATGACAGATCTTACCCAGTGCCCTTACTTCACTATCTCATGACTGACGAAGAGGCAAAGTTTTTCCATTTTGGATGTTTTTCCCAATCTGGCATTCCAATATTAGGAAGCAGACCAACCTGGCATAGAAAAGACTCACTTCTTCATCTGAACAAAGGCAAAATTACTGTTTAAAAATAACCAGTGCAGAAATCTGTCTGAGCTTCATTTTCACTTTTGTTTCCAAATTCCTCCTAAAGAAAATTCTGTTGAATAATCAGTCAAATTTGAAACTTTTTTACTGTCATGTAGCATAGTATCACAGTTCATGGTTTTTTACCTGACTTGTGCGATTTTATATACACATGAAAATTCTCTTATGCCATATAATGTTGATTTATTGCTAATATTGAGTGGGTTTTTTTTGGTCTGTCCTTTGCTTTAATTTCAACCTCTGATTGTTCTTGTGATATGAAATATGTTCTAGATGTTGCAATGATACAAGTTATATGAGTGGCTACAATGATGTGAGTGGGTACTTGTAGTAATACCCAGTTTAATGTGTTAGAAAATTTGGAAATGGGATATGGGCATGTAATGATGTTTCTACCAGAAAGATAATTGACATAAGATAGCATTTACAGCTTTTATTCAAATTCCACAAGATTTTTGACTCCAAGCACAATTCCTGAGACTGGAATAGTTGATAAAGGCATTCTTAAACAAAAATCCCTTGAGCAACAGTAAGTCCAAAAGTAAAGTGTGTCAAAAGCACTCAGCTGATTCTTAAACAAAAATCCCTTGAGCAACAGTAAGTCCAAAAGTAAAGTGTATCAAAGGCACTCAGCTGACCTCTCCACAGTGGTAAACCACATTTCGTGACAGCATAGTTCTCAGTAACTTCAAGAAGATATGGTATCTGAGGAGGCATAGCTTTCCATCGCTGCAGTGCAAATACATCCCCGTGAGTTCACTGTTTATCCTAAGGCTAAAGTGCTGTAATTTTCTTTTGAAGTCCCCAAAAACCAGTGGTAAAAGTTCAAATTATGGCATGTAAGATGAAGAATTTTCACAGACCCGCACTCCCACAGTCTCTTGAAGCTGTGACAGTTGACAAGTATAAAGCCTCAGTCTGAGAGTTAAAATCATCACCTTAAAGAAAGAAAATGCAATAGTATTAGTTTTAAAATCTGCAGTGATTTAAGAAAATAAAAAGCCTTATTTTAACAACTGAGTGGTAAAGAGTGAAAACTCAGTCTCCTAGATCGTGCTGAAGTTACAATTGCTCCTTAAAGCTGTAATAATTTACAAGAACATCTGCTGCAATCTTTTCTGAGGAAAAATTATCTCTTTTATCTGTAGTGCAAATTCTGAAGTTTCTATTATAACAAAGCTATCACTCACTTTCAACCATATAAATGAATAACAAAACTGAAATCTGTTTAGATTACCAATCCATGGAAATTATTGTCAGTAAATATGTGCGTGTGATTAAAAGAGTGCAGAACTGGGACTTCAGTGATGAGTTTAAATGTCCTACATATTCAATTCTGATACAGCTTGAGCTGTAAGTTAAAACTTAGCATTAACAGTCCTTGTTCCTGTAACCAGGACTGTATGGGTCATTTCCAAGGCACTGTGGTAAAGTATCTGTGGCTTTTATGCTTCAACTACCTACTCATCATGGAAAAAAGGTTCTTTCCAGGGTTTCTTAAAAATATCCAATGCTGAGAAATATAAATGTTTGTCATCTGACTTACTGCATGTTGCAAGTAAGACAAAGTTTTTTTGTCATTAAAATGAAGAAGTAAAACCGCAAAGAGTGGCCTTGTCTCCTTTAATTTCTTCATTTCACTAAGTGCACAGAAGAGGCTACAAAATACAAATACAAAAGAAAAATACAAAAGTAATACAAAAAGCCAGGGGAAGCCAAGCTATGCTCGGACAATATGCACTGGAATGATGTCCAGACATGCACCAACGCTGTTCTCCAGAATGCTGCTTGCCTTGAGCTTGTGTTCATTAGTGCATGACATGATGCCATACACTAAAGTTTCACACTGTCACATGAAAAATAAGAATGAGACTTTGACTGCAGCAAGGTTTCTGGAAGGTGAAAGTGTCTTTCTGAAAATGTTGTTTCAATTGAAATATCTACTGATGGCAGTGGATCAAACACTGTTCAGATGCAAACATGACAATCTGAGGTGATTTGGAAATCAGTGAATTCCTGCCCTCTTCATCCAGTCTCTAGGTTTCACCTACAAAATTTATTTTTTAAGCTGGTGACTTCTTCATGTATTTTTTTAGCAGTGAGAAACATGGGTGGATTCTCAAAGAAATCCTGTCCTTGGAAAAGCCCTGAGTTTCTCTGTTCACTTCGTTATCTGCATCACAGTGTTACTCCATTTGTGCTCCTTGGCAGCCTCAGGGCTGACCTCAATACACAATGTGAGGGTCTGCTTGGACAGCAAGGAATTATGGCTAAACCAAGTACCTCTGTACCTAACACTGGCCACAGCCTTTGCATCACAATGCATTAGCCTGTCAAACTGTTATCTCTAGGTGACAAAATTGATTTATATCAGTAAGTGTATTAAGATTTTCCCTGTCATTGATTTATCATTTTCCATGGTGGTATTTTTTTATTTTTCAGTTCAATTTTAGTATGGAACAGTTAGATGCATCCTGACAGTTTTTTAGGTACTATCTTCTCTCTGAAATGTAAAATTTCTGGATATCTAGGCAAGTCAGATTCTCATAGGACAAGAAGTAATGTAGGACATGATATAATATTCCAGATAAATGAGGTATCATTTTATTGGTTGTTAAAACCTGTATCCTGATCCAAAAGTATAACAGACTGTTGCCACAAAAATCTTTATGCTGTCCAAACAAAACAGCTTTCTATGAGTATCCTTGTCAGCCAAGACTATTAGAATCCCAGGTAGTATACAGAGGTGTGTGCTGAGTGGTGCAAGAAAGCTATTGGTACCTAGTGAAAGGGAACCAGTATTTATAAATTTTTACATTGCCCAAGAGAAAGTCAAATCTTTAGAAATTGCATTTTTAAAAAACTCAAGAATAAAATAATTTAACCTCAAAACTACCCTATATTCTGATGTAACATTATTTAGGTTTCAATCTATGTATTTTTTAAGATTTTAGATGTAAGAAGGAAAAATCTGTAAATGTAAATTTTAAAAATTGCCTATGACTTACTGTTCTCATCCTTTGCATTAGGATTCAGTTTTCTTTTCCTGTCTGTTAAAGTAAATATATACAAATTTAGCTTAAACATTTCTAGATTTGAAAGAAACTGTATTGTAACTATAACTATTGAACAAATCTTTGCATTAAACTGAGCTGTAAGTTATTAAATCATATACAATAAATAAACTTCTTTTCTTTTACAAAACTTGAATCAAAAACTTTACAAAACTTGAATCAAATTCTGAAATCATAATGTTAAGACTTTTTTCTTGACTATAAATACATACAGTCTGGTTTAATGGAGTCTGTTCATGTGCAAGAAAATACTAGAATAATAGTGTGTTTGCTTTATTAGTTTTGTACTACTGCACGTGCAAACAAGGAAGGAAATGCTGTGGTAGTCCTGTATGACACTTAGTTATAGACCCACAGTGGTGTTGGAAAATAAAAATTCTGTGTAGTATACTGTAGCCACAGTGTCTTTGTAGCTATGAAGAAAACACTGCTCAAACTATGCTTTTACTGTCCTCCTGATGCAAGGTAAAGTTTGTTTGTGCTCTGTACAGAATACTAACTGGTTAGCTTTAAAAATGTATCTTTCCATACACCTTGTCTCACACAGGTAACACAATAAGGAAATGAAACCCAACTCAATAAAACCCAAGATCTCCTTTTCTCTCCTCTTGTAATCTGGAAATAAAGCGTGACATGCGAGTGTGCCTTATTAAAATTTCTTGAAGGTTGTTCATAGAAAAAAGTAAAGAAATAGTAAAAAGTTTCACTATCCGAAGTAAAATGTACCTTTTTTGGGTTGCTCATTCTTGAATGATTTTCTCTTCTGAAATATTATTAGTGCAGAGAGAAGGACAGCTACAGTCACACATGTGGGGATGATTAAAGATATCAGGAATTTTTGTCCACTATACTGTGTACTCGTTAAAGCTGTTAAAAACATTAAAGAGAATAAATTTATAACTTACAAAACAGGCATTTTTTATCAAAGTATTGGTTCTGTTTCTTCAGTCTTGCTCTGACTGAACAAAAGATTTTTAAAATTTATCAACATAGTGATTTACACTTATTAATAATTTGTCCTGAAATATTACTGTGAAAAGCCTTAAAAAAAGCCAGTCAAATCTTTTATTTGTATGGCATTTGAGTCTGGCACCATCCTATTGGCATCTGCCTTTGAAATATTTTTATATATTGATGAGACCTCCTCTCAGTCTTCTCCAAACTAAACTGTCTCCTCAAAGAGAGATGCTTCAGAGCCCTCATCATCCTTGTTCATCATTGCTGAACCCTCCTTCTCGCTCGTGTCCTGAGGAGCCCAGAACTGAGCACAGCACTGGGCACAGCACTCCAGATATGCCCTCACTACTGCTGAGTAAAGGGGCAGGAGCATCTGGCTCAGCCTGCTGGCAATGCTCTTCCTAATGTGCCCTAGGATAACATTAGCTTTCTTGGCTGGCTCAGGGAGAGCTTTTTGTCTGCCAGGACTCCTAGGTCCTTCTCTGCAGAACCACTTCACAGAGGTCAGCCCCAGCCTGTGCTGGCATGTGCAGCAATTCCTCCCCAGGTGCAGAACGTTACCCTCAGCTGAACCTCACTAGGTTTCTCTCTGCCCAACCCTCCAGCTAATCAAGGTCCGTGGAATGGCAGCAGAGCCTTCAGGTGGATCAGCTACTGCACCCAGCAGTGTCACCAGCAAACCTTTGTCCAGGTTGTTGATAAATTGAATAAGACTGGACCCAGTATTGATCCTTAGGGAATGCCACTGACAGCAGGCTTCCATCTCGATTCTATTCCTCTGATCATGACCTTCTGGACTCTGTAATTTACCAGTTCTTGATGCTGTTAATCTAACCCACATTTCCTGAGCTTACCCTTGAGGATACTATGGGTGACAGTGTCAAAAGCCTTGCTGAAGTCAAGGTAGACAACTAGATAGAACAATTAAGAAGAAACTATCAGGGAAGATGCCCATGCAGATGAAAAAATTCCCTCTGTATTGGTAGGAAAATAAGGAAATCTATTCTAAAATTAAAATATACAGAAAAATACAGACTGGTTTGTTGGAATGGAAGCTAGCTGACTTCAAAGACATAAATAATACTGACTTGTACTGTTTATCAAGAATTAATATGACACTGATTTCTAGAACTGAACTCCAGTGATGGAGCATAACACATGATGAACACTGTCATGTACAAGTTCAAGGTCATACGAACCTAAAGGGGAAAAGTGAGCTGAAGTTTCTCCATTCAGTTCTTTGTTCCAGAAGACACACGTGTAGTTTTCTCTCATATTTGGTTTGAATGTCAGGGTGGTGGTGACATTGTAGAGGCCATCTGCAGTCAGTGTATAGGTGGTATTTGCAGATCCACTGAGATTGAGGTTCTCATTTTGCCAGAAAACCTCTGCCAGAGGAAAGCCTTCTGACTGGCACATAAAAACAAACTTTTCTTCACCTGGTATTCTCATTACTTGAGTGTTTATTCTCTTGTAAGATGCTGCATGAGAAGTTGTTGAGTGAAATTCTTGTATGCAACAATAGTCATTTTCTCACTTCACTTTCCCTGTTTCCTTTTAATGCTATGTATTGTCTCTGGCTATATCTGTGGAACACGTATTTAAAATTATGAAGGTCGTTTTGTAGAACAATGCAAAATGGATTATTCAATCCTTACCATGCCTACAGCAAAAGAACATACTCCAGTACTTTATATAGGGCAGCAGTTGACACTAAATGTGTGATTTATTAAGACAGAAGAGATAAGTGGAATCTTATGGGACTGTTATTTTCACTTTTAGAATATGCCACTTCAAAACCTGATTTCATAGCTTATAAACAGTGTAATATTTTCATCATATTAGAAAAATATTGACTTTTCATAGGAACTAATGTGGGTCTTGAGAATGTCTGTGTCCATTTTTGCATTTGATAAATATTTTTATTTAAATATCTGGGTGGGAAATTAATTCTGTCTTGCATCACACAGACGTGCAGTTAGTGAGAAACACCAAAAATCTTTCAAAGATCTGGTCTGTCATAATTTCCATTAACAAATACCTTTATTACTAATGCCCATTTGGCTTCAATGGACACAGAAAATCACATGTCCTTGCTGTGGGAAGTGCAGTCTTAGGGAATCCCCAGCCACTTGGGTCATTGCAGCAGGATTCATAAGTATATCAAAGCATCTCTGAGAAACTTTTTGGAATAACCAGAGGGTGGCCCAACAAGAGGATCAATGGAGAGGACGGAGGTGATGGCACAGAAGAAGGCTGTAGAAAGAAGGATGGAAGGAAAACAGATGCTGTCCCTTCCCAGCACCAGATGCCCCTGGAGGAGCTCAGCTGTTGAAAGGCTAGCCACTACTAGGACAACTGCTTTGGTTCAGCTGGGAGATGACTACAAAGTCTTGATGGAACAACTAGCTACAAATTCCTTCAGATTAACCAATTTCTACAAGCCTGTAGGAATGTAGTAGAGACATCTCAATGAATATACAATTACCTTTAATTTAACCACTCACCTCTTACTTCCAAAGCAATGTACTTGTAGTCCACGCCCTGGTAGTCAATGAGACAAAGGTATGATCCTGCATCTGTTATCTTAACACTAGTGATCTGGAGGATGGCTCGTCCCAACTTCAGTTCACTGTGCAGAAGTGATGCTCTTCCTATGTAATCAGGATGTTGAGATGGATGGAGTGCCTTCCCATTGCGGAATGTGTACACCTCTTTTGATTTCAATGAGCCCTGCCTTTTCTGCTCCCAAACAACAGTCAGGAGTCCTAGATCCACAGAGCCATTCACAGGGAATCTGCATTCCATGGTCACATTGCTCCCATATTCCGCAGTGTAGAGCTGTTGAGGAACTTCAACTGTAAATAAAGCTGTGTGAGGAAAAGAGAACAGTTTCATTTGTTTCATCAAAATATGTTCTGATTTTCTTTAAAGCTGGACAAAACTGTGTCAGATAGTGTACAAATAGTATACTGTGTGCAGATAGTCAAGAATATATGATTTGACGAAAAGTTATAAGCATTTTTTGTTCACATTCACAATAATATTTTTACCACATAGTAATTATAGCAAATCATCGATATTCTGTATTGATTACAGAATCTGAAAGATGAGGGCAGAATTACCTAGTTTTTGATGGTGGGTTTTGTTTGTTTTTGGGGTTTTTTTTTGCATTTTATGAGTAACTTAAAGCTAGGCCAGTGGTTACACAGGGACCATTTTTATCAAACTATGATATGCTCTCTTACAGTCCTAAGATTGTAGTTCAAGCAACAATTAATTGTGGAAATTGTAAATTTAATGTCACTATTGTTCACAAAAAGAAATACCAGTGTTGTTCCTGTGAAACTGGATAAATGTGTATAGCTCAAAATTGCTATGTAGCAATTGCAGTCTCCACAAACCTGGAACCATGTGGGTATCATTTGAGCTTGCATTTTCACAGATACATGCAACAGTATTACAGAAAATATATCAAAAAAATCTTAACTATTCACCCAATCCAAAATTAATATTGTTATGAATAGGTTGCCATTTTAAAGTGTACTTGATATGGCAGAGTTATTTCTAATACATCATTCAGTATACTTTGTTACTACTTTCCATATTGGATGTGCTATTTATTGGTTGACAATTCAGGAGCACTTGGAAGTGTTGGCAGAGACATTGCAAAGAGAAGTCTGTGCAACTCTTTAGGCATTCTTTTTGTTTTATATGTCTCTGAAATACTTACAGGGAAACTTTAGCATTGCGAGGTTCTTCTTAGCGATGTTTTTTTTATTCACTGTAATACAGCTGTAGCAAGGGAGAAAATTATGTGAAAAAGTGCAAGCTCCTTTTGGGTTTTAGCCAAGCTGCTTCTGCTACAGGCATGGACAGGGGAACACCAGTGATTTCACTACACGCCATCGCACACTGAGATTGTTATGCTTCCCAGTGGACATTGGTCACTTTGGTCATTCTCCTTCTCACAGCCATGCCACTGATGCTGGATATCTCAGCTGCCAATACACAATTTGTTAAGGAAGCCTGACTCTGGAAAGTGACAGACACCTATCCTCTGCTCAGTCAGTGTCAGTACCTTCTATAAGATGGAAAGCAGAGGCTCCAGACATTACTGACCATTCCTGCAAGTATTGCTGGAGGTGTTGAAGCCCACATACTAAAAGCTGCATTAGCTCTGCTAGTGGAACTGAAAGGCAGTTTCTCTCTTACCTGAGACCATGGAGAGCTGTGTTTCCAGCAATAGTATTGTGAGGATTTGGAACATTTTCTCAGGTAGATCTGAAACAAAAGAAGAATTGCATTGGAACTTGCAACAATTACCTTCTGCTGAGGCAGATCAGAGCCATGCTAGCATTTAAAATCCATCACAGCTCATAAACAGCAAAAACAGAAACAAACACTAGGCTACTAGCAGAAACAAGGAAAATCTGTATTAGAGCAACTCATGCACACACAAAGAATATGAACCAATGGCAATGAACCAGTGGCAATAAAGAGAAACGAAACATTTCCACAACCTCAGTCATGACATTTTCAGGATCTGTAGCTCGCAGGCAGTTTCAAATAGACTGACAGGGAAATGCTTTTATATTTTTTACTATCCACAAATACTAATCAATTGCAATTGACTTCTCAATCTCAATCTTCTTCAAAATCTGCTTGTGTTTGTTCATGAATCTCTCAATGTAGGAGAGATTCATGAACAAACACAAGCAGATTTTATAACTGTCTGCACTAACACATGATCCAGATTACAAGATTTTTAACCCTGCTTTTGTTTCAGCTTGGCTTTACATGGGGTATTTTGCAGTTTCCTATTGCCTTAAACCTAAAGACCAGGCAATACTTGGAACACACTGTGATGCAGTGGAAATCTCAGGATGGATAAATTGAAGTTTGCTTCAGAAAGGATTAGAATGAAGACTTACTGCTGCTATTCTTTCACCTCACTCAGCAATGTCTGACGTGTACAAATCACCTTGTATTACTGACAGTAAACCATCAGCCCTGGAATAATGCAAAAGGATAAAGTACAGTTTTAGAGTGAGTGTATTTGTGTTCCAGTAGCAAGCAAACTATCACATATTTTTCATACTATTGTATACAGATCAACATAACTAAAAAGAGGAAAAATCCCCAAACAACAAAGAAGCACCAGGGGCAAAATTTATAGCAAAACTAATGAGATAATAGAAAAGACAGAAGAATTACTTTGAATAAAGATTGTTAACATGCAGTATAATCTGAAAAATATAGTGTATAAGATGCAGAAATAAGCTACAAGGAAGTAGAGAAGAGAAGGAGCAATTTTATGCTTCCCCAGAGCTAGACTTACTGGAGGAGGGGTTTAATTTTACTTCCCTATTTTTTTGTGGGCTCAGCTTGAAACATTCTGGTTCCAATTTTCTCAGGTGCTGCATTTCTCTCATTGCTTCTACACTTGAGCTTTCAATCTTGGAAAGTGAGGGTCAAGCCTTAGCAAGTTAGCAGCCAAAATTATGGGACTTTTTGATTTGATGTCACAAATAAAGGTTTATATGCAAACTACTGTAAGCAGACTTATTAGATGTAAATGAAAGCTAGTTACCTTTATCAGAGGACAGAGTCCATCACTATTTAATGCGTGATGAATCATAACTACTATGGCTGTGTGAGAAAGGAGCTAATAAACACCATCAGTATCTCTATTTTCCAGATGCAGAAGTAAAGACTGTTACTATTTACTATCCTCAGTCTCCTACTATGCTCACTTCTCTACACAGCTTACCTATCAGAAGATTGACAGAAGGGAAAGAACTGAATGAAGAATGAAACAATATTTCACATCAATATTTAGATCCCTGGATTAACCTTATGTGAGACACTTTAGGGATTCTGCTCTCTTTTTATAGTTTAGAGTACATTCGGAATGCAGAGCATGTTTATTTTTAATGCAGGATATAAGATTTTTTAAAATATGCATACTACTAGTAGTAAAAATAAGATAAACAATCTGCCCCAGCAGATAGTCATAATTATATACATATCAAGTAAATCTTGTCTGACCAGAGGGGTTAGTTTTAGGAAAGCATTACACATAATATAAATACACAAAAGAAACCAAACATTAGAACATTTTAACTTGGGATACTGAAAGCAGTCATAGAATGCTTGTGGGAAGCAGGAAGGATCTGTATTAGAAAGATCAAAGATCTCTTAGCACAGATGTGTATTAGAAAGATCAAGGATTTGTCAGCAAGGATCTGTATTAGAAGGCCTCCTTCTTTATTTCCATAATGTCACAAGCAGACAAGAAGTTGTTGTGCAATCTCAGTGCAATTTACCCATGCAACTTCATCATGTGGCTCTGACACACTTCCATAGAAGAGCCTGCACCAGCATCTGGAAGGTGATTTCTTCTGAGCTTGCATTACTAACCATTTGTGATGTTACAGAATAGCCCTCATGTTCTCCCCATTTTTCATAAAACATGTCATGCCCTGCTCTTCAACAGTCCTTGTACACAACTGTCTTAACTAATGCTAAGCTTATGCAAACATCTTTTGTTTTTCTGTTAAACAAAAGACCACTTCTAAAATGTATTCATCATATGCCTGTTACAAATTCACAGGGATAAAAGAAGGAACACTCTGCCATAAAAATTAGTACTTAATGCTTCTTGCAGCAAAGTGAGGAATTGAAAATATGTGTCCGAGAACAGTAAGAAGTAGCATGATATTTCAAGAGCAATTCAGATGGAGTCAGTAAATTCATTTCCCAGACCAACCTGCAGAAGAAAAAGCAACTTATCACACAGTGTTCTGTGATTACAAGAGTGAAGTCCAAAAAACCTTGGATAATTGAGGTGGTAAAAAGCATCACATCAAACATCTAAAGATCATCATGGCTTTTTATGAGTTGTAATAGTTTCAATGAAGATTTAGGGCCCAAGACAAAAAGTTTGAACAGGACCACTGAAAACAAAAGTATGACAATGATCAGGGAAAATGAGGAATATAATGTTTTCTTTTTGTACAGCTTGTTTGCTTTACTGAAAATGGAAAATAGAAACCCATACTTGACGTCGTTGGGCCACAAGCAACATATTCTGGTAAATTTTCTTAGTGAATGCTGACTGAAATCCAGATGGCAATAATAATAAATTGATGTAGTTCTATCAAAGATGGAAATTAGTATTGAACTAAATATTGTTTTTCTCTTCTTGATTCATTCAGTTGATCATGCCTGTGACTTTAGCCCTGGTCCCAGCTCACTTATCCAAGAGGGTTTATAAAACTTGTCTCAAAGAAATGGGTAATTTTTGGCCTTACTTTATATGAAATCTCTAGTGGTTGTCCAAAATCCTTGTGTAAGGAGTGAGAAGGATATTTCTTGTTCCTTTGGAAAATTTAGACTCGGTATTCCCACTTCAAACTGTACAAACTCTATGCTTCATGCAACTACATGATTCAATTTGCAACATAATGTATAGACTTTATTCCATTCTATAGACAGAAGTGAAAAGGTTCTTATCTTGACTGGATATTATAGAGATGCTCTCAGGAACTGAAACAGATGACAAAATATGAATATCTGCTACATGCTTAAACTGTGCAGCTCTTGATCAAAAGCTTGGGTAGCTCATTTAAGAGCCATGCTTTGTACAGACCTCTTTGGTGTGTGTACATTGTTATTTACTGGATCCTATTTTCAGAAAACACTCGTATGTTTTCACCACAATGCATTGGCAACTGAGGCTGGCATCAGTCTGGTCATAATAGTTAGGATTGATTTGGCATTAGTGTAAACTCTCACATTGTTCATAATGTTAAGTTTACAAGAAGTATTTTAAGCAAAGGAATATGAAGATCACAGAATATTTTGCAATCTACTCCTTTGTAATAACAATTGAAACCCACATCTGAGTAATGTAAATGAAATCCTATTCTTTTCATCCATAAAAGATCATAATGTTTTTCTTAAGTAAAAGAAGCATCTTAGTGTAAGATCCTCTGGAGCTACCTTTGATTAGTACCTTGCTGTGACTGCTCCTGCACATGGCAGGAGGGTTGGAGTAGGTCACCTTTAAAGGTTCCTTCCAACACAAATCATTCTACAGCTCTGTAGTTCTGTGATTATTCTCAACACCAGTTTAACAAAGGATCCCGAACAAAATCTTTGTGCTGTTCACTAAACAAAACAACCAGAGACAGAGTCACTAATTCAGGGACCTTATATAGTGGAATAAATAATGGAAAACTCTTTTCTGGAAACATTGTTTCAACTATTAAAATATTTGTTTTCTAGCAAATGGATGATTTAGAACAGTAGACATTTAGATATTTAGTGTCTACATAATGAAATTTAGCAGCATTAAGCAAGGAGAGCTTTGTAGACCTGTAACTTCCACTAGAATAATCAGAACAGTTGGAAAAGCTAAACAAACTTTCAAGCACACTGGCTTTCCTCCAGGTTTAAAGCAGGAGTCTAATCAACACAGAGGTTCACAATAATCTCTCAGATTTCACTCTGGAATATCAAAGTATTAAAGGACTAAGGAAGGGGTACTTGGTCCTTTTTATGTTTAATGGCTATGGCAGACAGACCCTTCTTTGAATTGTATTTCCCTGCAGACCAAGGTATCCCATTGGCAGCACTTCTGATATCATCCTGCTTGGTTTTAGCAGGTATAACACAGGTGTTCTTAAACATAGAAGGAAGTGAGGACATTGAACTCCACGTCTGGGAGCTGGGAGGATGGAAATGTCACCAGGCTAGGCTGTTGGCCTGTGTTCACCTCCGCACAAACTGTCCCGTGCACTTTGCAAACAAGATTTTGCAAGTAGTCTTGCATCCTGAGACATGTTGAGATGGTAGACTTTATTACGGATTTGAAATACCAATATTGCAGTTGATCTATTCACTCCTACATTCCTACATTCAATGTTTTTGCTCTGCTGCTGACAGAGTCTGCAACATTACTGAGCTGAGATCAGCTATGTTTTCTGAATGACTATGCTTTTCCTACTCACTCTTCTTCCACACTCTCTGTCTTATTGTACTGCAAATAGAACCCATACTAAGCACAGGACAGTGCCTTCTGGAATTAATCCAAAATGAAAAACTCATCTTAATGAAAAGCAATCAAGCTGTGTTAACAGGCATCTGACTTGGCTCCATTTGACTCTCCCTGCATGAAATGGCGTATTATGCTCAATTAGCTAGAAAAGAGACTATCTTCTCATGCATCTATGTACACAACAAAAGATTATATGATCCCAGTCATAGTTTCTTTTGTCTCTTTCTGTTACTGAAACTCCCCTGCCTTCTGTACATTTTGCAATTGGAGCAAGTTTTTCAACAGCTTTCTTCTAACACTCTCACATGTGCAAAAAGACTCAAATTTTTGACATCTTCATGAAATGGTTAAACTGATTTTACTTTCTGTGAAGGATCCAGTTTAAAAATAAAAGAAACAAACAAAAAAATTAAAGATAAAAGTTTAGAAATCCTAGGTCATAAAATAAGCAAGAGAATAAACAAAAACAAGCATTAGATCCTCATACAAACTACAGTTGTTCCATATCTCAGAAAGAGATGGTATCTCTTTCTGATACCATCAGAAAGAAGGTACTTTTTTTCTATTTCAGGAATATAATAAAAAATCCTAACCATGCATATTAAAATTTGTTCAAAGGCCATTTCCCCAGCCTGTCCCAGTATATTTTGTGGACATAATCTCTTGTTCTCAGTCTCTCAAGCCCACCTTATCCAAATGCCATCTCACCTGCTGTTCTTCTTCTGTCTTTCGCTCACTTGTTTCAGTCCTTTGTTGCCCACCTCTCCACACTGGCAATTTATTGTTGGGATGATTGGTTTATTCCTGATGTTTACCTGTTACAGCCTATTTGCATCGTTTCAGTCTGCTCTCCATCTCCCTTCAGCCTTCAGATGAAGAGATAGAATTTCTCACTTCCTCCTTTGCTCACACTGTCTGTGAATTCTCACTTTCCCTGTATTGCTTAACTGTCACCTGTTGAAAATTTTCCACTGTCAGTTTTTTTGTTCCATGACAAATACAGTCATTGTAATATGGCTGAAAATTTTTTTTCTATAGATACTAGGATAGAATTGGGGTGAAATTTTGTTACATTTAAAAAGCAGCTGTGTATATCATAGAACCTTTCAGAGCCTTTCAGCTCTTAGCAGTATTACTGAATACAGACTGACATTCTGGCAAAATATACACTGCAATTTTTATTTTTTTTTTCTTTTTTTTCTACAGAAAGAAAGAGTTCTCAGAGAGACAAAAGAACTCCTCTTCATAGCTTGTGCTTTTTCTAGGAGGCAGAAGGTGAAAGTTTCCAGGCTTTCTGTACAATCAAAACAACCTGCAGGTAGCATGTTAGTAACAACTAAAAGAAACAGGAATATATAGATACAACTATATATAGAGGGTTTTTTTGTCCATCCAAATCCTTCCTGAAATTCAGGATGAAATATTTACTAAGAGCTACATGCTCATGCATAAGCTGAAGAGGCTCACCAGCACCACTCCTCTGCTTTTGTCTATGAGAGAAGATAGAGTTGTAAGAGAATTTCATCTTCTAAAAATATCAGAAATTAGAAATTATATGGATCTGCGTTTTAGGATCTGGAACTTATCCAGACTTTCATTCAGAATCAGAGTCTGTATCCCAGTAATAATTTGAAAATAAAAAAAAATCTTAAGAATAAGTTGTAAAATTTAAGAACATAGGGGAAAAACCAGCAATCCATCAGCCAGAAATACAGGAAACATCAATTTGCATTTTATCAGTGTTATACTCACATGAGATCTTTGTGCAGGTCATTGCAATAATTTGCAAAGATTCTCAAAGCTCTATCCTCTTTGCACAATAGGAACTACCCAACTCTTATGACAGTGTGTAACATGCACCAATAGCACAGTTGTAGGCTGATCTTCAGGATTTAAGTCATAAAAAACCTGACTATGTTGAAAGGACATTTCTCAAGATGTTTTTAGTTTCACTTTCCTGCTGAATGTACACTGAGCTCACTTCTCTGCATTGCTGAGAATGTGTGTGCATGCAACAAAATTATACAAAGCATTCTGTAAAATTTATGTGCTCAAATTCTGCTTTTGAATCTACCCATGATTTTCAGTGGGCTTATAAACATTTAAAGTAGTGTACAGCACTGGCATCTGAACTTGCATTTACTAGGACTGTTGTACATTCGTGAAACTATAAAGTTACGTTTTCTTACCTTCATCAGACTAATTTTACAAGAATTCATCAAGAAATTACCTAATATGTGCAGAATCTGTTTCCTCTTAATTTTCATCAAAGTTTATGTTATTACCAAAAAAAAAAAAATCACTATGAGGCTAATCAAACACTTCAGTGAGGTTGTGAATCTCCGTGCTTACAAACTTTATAGGACAAAACTTGGGCAATTGTTTTTAAGATGTCACTGCTTTGAGTGGAAGATTGGATTAGATGACTGATAGATCCCCTTCCAATATAAAAGTATTTTGTTCTATCAAACAGCTTTATCAATGGATGCATCGTTTCATTTTTCATCACTCTATCTTTTAATTTATGATGACATAATGAGTGAGGGACATAAAAGAGATACAGATGTGTTTATGCCACAGCTGGGACACACATACTATTTTGTCTCCTATTAGATTCTCACTGCTTGTGAGAATTGTGTTCTACCTCAACAAAAAAATTATTGTGGGTTTACTTCTGCAAATCCTAGCTGGCTTGAGATGATGTATGATTGCCTGCCTCACAGTTCCAGACTGATTTATGAAATTATGTCTCCTGCTGCCTAGTACAGAGCAAACTAATTTAACAAAACCACTGTTACATTACTATTTTTCCTCAGTAAGCTTATCATATGTAGCCCTGTCACACAAAGTAATTAATGAGTAGTCTCAACTTTTCCTAGAAAAGCTTCAATGATTTTTTTTAGCAGAAGTCAACGATTTGGATGACAGAAAAAAAACACCAAAGTTACTTCACAATCACCATCATCTACTCATTCTGAGCTAGTCCTTCCCTACATGTTATCTTTATGCATTCCCATATTGGAACAAGGAGAGAGCTCCATGAAGTTGCCCAAGAGTCAGTGACTTGCCTTGGACATCATATGAACCCCAGTAGCATCTGACTTGCCTGGGACAATCATATATTTGCAGAGCCAGAGAAATATGGAGAGAGACAGGGAAAACAGGACAATATGCTGAAAAAACAGAAGTCCTACTGTTAAGGTCTGCAAAAGCAGAAATTCCACTGTTAATACCTCTGTTGATTTCCTGGCTAGCCCATGCTTGAATGATGCACCGTTGGTAACTCTTTAGTCAAAGGGGAAAAGGGACATGGTCAGAAGTCCTGCAGTTCTGCTCCATGAAAAGCTGTGCAGGTCAATAGCAATGATTCTATTTTTCATTATTAGATCTTTATTAGAATTGTAATTATAAATAGCTTTCATATTCTACAAAATTAAATGCCACATCACAAAGCAGGCCACCACACTGTTTCATAGTTACATTTGTAAAATAATTGAGTCCTGAACTGAAATACCAATAAGCCAATTTTGATTGTGCACATGAACCAGGCTTTTCTGAGCACTTTTGAAAATCTAATAATGCTTGGCTGCTAGGAAGTAAAATGCAGCTTACTGAAGCTAAGTCTGGTCCTGCTTGCTGCTGTATTTTGTCTTCCAGATATCTGAAAACACTGAAGGATCATGCAAATGTTTTTAACAGAAGGAAAAAATGTTATTACACATATAGTGTTTAACTACATTTATTAGGATAGGAAGGATTTCCACTTACCTAGTTCTCATTAACTAAATGTGTTCCCTCTGTAATGAGTGGAGAATACTTGATCTGAAACCACTTATGGCATTCAAGGAGAAGCATGTGGGCCTCTCTCACTGTATTTATAAATTGAAGCCACAAAACTTAAGCCATACTAAAGTTATACTAAAAGTTTAAAATAAAGATTAGACAGTTCAGCTTTGTATTTCAGAGGAGTATAAAAGAGTGCTTATTTAGTGAGGGCAGGTCTTTTCACTTTACCTGTTATTCACCACATCTCCTACTTTTCTAAGCAAAATTTTATGCTTCCCATCAACCACTCAGGAATTCAAGCACTGTCATTTCAGAGTTAGGGTTCAGCCAAAGAATTTCTTTTTTTATCCCCTCATCTCATTATCTTACTCATCTGACATCACTCGCTTTCAACAGCAACTTGCCCTTTCTCCTACTGGGAAAAGAGAAATATAACAGTTCCTGCTGTCCAGTAGAATTTGACAAAGACATTAACTTCAGTTCTGTAACACTAAGAAAGAACTGCCCTGCAAAGGCTTATAAGAACTAACAAGAGGAGACTTCTTCACTTTTACTGTAATATGCACACAACTTGTCCAGTCTCAAACAGGAAGTAGAAAGTGAAAGGTCATCTTGTCTGGAAAGTGAATGATTTATGTGGTGATATGATTCTATATTTTTGTGCTGAGTCAGTACTTTGTCTACAAATGGCCATGATATTTAAAAAACCTTGCTGTAGATAATTAAAATTTGGCTATTACCTTCAATGACACCCAGATTCAAAAAGCATATTGGGAAGCAGAAGGAGATATTCAAGTTCACATAGTAACCTTGAAGACTCAGATGGGAAGAATCAGTATATATGACCCAGAATACACAAGGTCTGCAATGAATCAGGGAAATAACTTGATAGTAACTGAAGTTTTACTAACTAACTGTGGTTGACCAGCCCATTATGATTCTGAGAAACATTTCTCTATTTTCCTACATAGGACAGCTTTCTGAGATTATTAAACACAATCATACATTAGCTAGCTTGAATACTGCCAGTAGTGAAGCCCTGATATTCATTAATGAGGACTGTGTCCACATTCTTAGGACTGCACAATAAATTATTTCTTTTCAAATGAAAAATAAAACCTGAGTCCAATGAGATTCCAGTTCTCTGCCACCTGTTCTTTGTGGGAGCCATTAGAGGGAGGTCATGGCTGTAGACTCTCTCCTACACCTAAATCTTAGATACTGCTTTTTTCTCAGAAATATGCAAATAGAGCTTACACTACTTGCTGACAGGTTAAGGAAAGCAGGAAAAAACACAGGAAAAAGAAAACACATTTTATTTAAAAAATACTATGTGAATACCATTGTAATATTTTTTTTTCACCTGTGTATGATCCCGCCCCATAAAGCAATGCACTTAACAAAATGCAATACAACAATAACTTGTGAAATGGGATCCAGGAACAGGTTCAGCATTTCTATGTAATCACATGTTCTTCAGCATTTCTATGTAATCACATGTGCATATATTTTCATGTCCTGGAAGTAAGTAGGCTTTCTTTCTTCCACTCCCAAGAAAACAAAATGGTCATCCAAAGCAAGGGCTGCTTTTCCTAAATGTCCAAAGAATTGTATTATCCCCAGACTGTAAATCAGAAGACAGTAAGCAGAAACCAAGTAGTGCCGACAATATAATGAGGAAATTAAATGCTCAAAATGCTTTTCAAAGAAAGATGTCAAAAAGCTTAGTATTATTTAATTTCCAAACCATAGTTACCAAGAGTTTTAAATCATTTTTTTCATGCTTAGCTGTGAGCATCTGGTATTTTAAGGACCAAAAGTGCCCTGTATGTATGGCAACTTGCCTTGCTGCACTTTTTATGAGGATCAAAGTATTGAAAAGATTCTTTAAATGATGGAAAACCAGTTATGTGCAGGAAATTGGGAGCTCGGGTGAAGGAAGAAAAAAGTTTCAGAAGATGACTTATCAAGAGCTAGCTGTGAAATTCATGATGGTCATAGACCTAAAGTGCTTTATATGAAAGATACATTCAATTAAATAAAATCTTTGAAGGACACATTTCCCTACACTTGACAAGGTAGAAACTTTGATATTTAAATAAATATCTCAATATCTAGTCATACATACAGAAGCCTGCATTCAGTAATTTTTTATGCTATAATAATTATTTTAACTTCATTAAATTTTTTCCTGTGTTACAATATAGAAGATTGCCATCACACAATAAATACAAAAAAATTTTATATCCCCTTCAATACATAGAACACAGAACACTTGAGCTGTCAAATCTTCACAATAGAGGGAAAAAAGTCTTCTCCTGCTCTCTCTAGGTCTTCTCAATTTGCATATCTGTAACAGGAAGAATTATATGAAAAAATTATCCAATTACAAAATTATGAAGGCACAGAACACTTCATAGTTTTGCTCCCCTTTCCTAGAGTTTGAAGGTACCAAAAAGTTTCCTTCATTGACAGAATTAAAGATCTAAAAATAAATTAATTAAAAGATCATACAGGAAAATATCACAATGGGAGGAAATAAAAGTGGTAGTTCAAACTTACTGTAGGGAAGTGGTCTTTAGCATATACAGTGAGATTTCTGTTGCTTAGGTCCCCCTTTCTTTCAAGACCTTTCAAAATTCTTTCAAATACATTTAGTGCTCCCTCTGTCAGTATTCCCAGTGGCATATCTCCAGGCCCTAACTTTTTGGCTTGGAGATCAACATCTGCAGGACCAGCAGGCTTACCTGTAAGTTTACTGTAGTAAAGTGTAGCAGGGAGGGATTTGGGATGCAATTAATGCAAGTGCTTTAGGAGTCAGCAAGAAAGGGAGAGAAATACCTCAAGAATTTCACCCTCCTGTTCCACACATAGGATGTTCCATGGATTTGAGATATTTGGTCATATATTTTCTTGTTTTGTTGAGACAGAATCGCACAGTTTGAGACCTGTTCAAGCAGCTGTGACAGGTTCCTCTCCCCTCCCTCACTGCCATCACTACCCTTACAGACATACATGAACAACTCTTTCTATAGCAAAAGGGCAAGCTGGAAAAAGCAACTGGTTTGGGTTTTATATATCTCCACATCACATTTTCCTTTGTATATCTTTACTTTTTATTTTAAAAACCAGATTCATTATTTGATGTAACAAACAGTACACAATGAGTTATGATGGTGAGTTTGTAAGGCACAGAATGGGAGGCTGTATTATCTCTTGAACGCTCTGTCTATTGAAACAAGAGGCTAAATAAACCAGCCTTGAATCAATACTCCAGTGACCAGGGATGGTTTATGCCGTGTAAAATTTGCTACTAATTTTTTCTTTGTCATATATACTTACATTTCAGCTCTTGGTCTTCAAAAGAAGCATCTCTGCAGTTGTGTGTATCCTTATCTTTTGACAGCTCTGTAAGTAAAGGACATACATACACAAGCAGTGAGCGCAGCTTAAACTTTTCCTATAGTGATAAATCTGTGTTAGAAACTGCCACCTCAGTCCACTCAGGATCTAGAGTGACTTGAATGCAGAGCAAGGGATGAGATTCACACCAATCTGTGTCTGTTTGGGTAAGTATTCTCAAGAGAGTTTTTCTTAGGAAAAATGCCAATGGCCAGCATGAACTAATTTTCACACAGCAATTTAATTTGTGGTGGTCTCCAAATACCCATACCACAAATTGAAAATAAATCAGTGAGTAACCATCTTGAGAGGCAGAGAAAGGATTTTCATCTCTCCTCTCCTGCTGTAAATATTAAGTCTCTTTGCTCTTTTCTTCATTTTCTTCAATACCACCTGTCATCATGGTACTGGCCTTCCACTGAGCTTTGCTCATAGCAAATATCATCAATATCACAACACAGAAACAAAAGCTTCCCTGAGTTTCTCTCAATGGGGCCAAACTCTCTGTCATTAATGTTGTGACAAAGACCCTCAAATGCATGCTATGATACTGGAGAAAACAGACAAATGTGACAGCACAGTTCAAATTGCAGCAAAAAGTCTGCATATCAGGATGTGATGCATTCTGAGGTATTATTTCCAGGGAGCCTGTCCCATCCTATTGCAGGCTTTCCAAAACACAGCATACTGCTCTGTCCCTTTCTTGTTCATATCAGGAGTGCATCAGTTCCTGGACAAGTATACTTTTTCTTTCACATTTTCCTTTCAAAACGATGACACAGTCATGAAAAGCCATTCTTCAATTGTAATTTACAGTTGTTATGTAAATGAAATGTAGAAAGCAAAATCAAAATGTAATTTAAATATCCATTTGGTTGTCACCATTATGGAGTTAACTCTCAAGCAAGTATTTCCACAAGAATCACACTCTGCTTTAAATCACACTAGATTTATGTCATAAGTACATACCTGCTATTGATGGACTTGCCACAGGTGTTCTGTTGCCCTTATTTGCTCTAGCTGAAAGAAAACAAAACAAAACAAATTTTAAAAACTATCCAAAATACTTGATTTAGATCTAGTGAGGAACTTAAATACACTGGTGGGAGGGGCACACATTACATAGTGTAATAATTTGTTCTCAAAACACTAAACTTCTTCAAAAACTTCAAAATAAATTCTTCAGTGCTCCCAGTCTCTTGGTTTCCTTTCCAACTCCCTTTTCTTGTTTCTAAGCCAGAACTCTATTGATACTATGCACTAACATCACTGGAAAATACTTGTTCAAATGGTTTCCCATTGCATCTTTTGTTTCTAAGCCAGAACTCCATTGCTACTATGCACTAACATCACTGGAAAATACTTGTTCAAATGGTTTCCCATTGCATCTCTTCACCCAGAAATTGAACATAGCAGAAAACAGGGAACAGAACAGGGATCATCTTCCCAGTGCTTTTTGAGGGGGAAAAATGCTCACATTCTGGGAAGATTCTGTTCAGAAAAAATCACTTGTCCAGTAACCCAGGACAGCTTAGGGTTTAAGACAAAAACCTATTGTCACTAGTTTAGCTTTTGAATCAACTCGTAGTTTATCAAACATGAAAAAATCACTCGTCCAGTAACCCAGAGCTTAGGGTTTAAGACAAAAAACCTATTGTCACTAGTTTAGCTTTTGAATCAACTCGTAGTTTATCAAACACACACACACTCACATGTGTATGTGTGTATACATAGACAGATATGAAAGCTAATGCAATGTGCATTACCACATACACACACAAACAATAAATATTAGTCAGGCAACCTAGGAAACTTCTGACCTTCAATGAAATCCCCAGCGGGATTCTTTTGAGCAGTCAAGGATTTTGCTGTCCCTTCTTCCACTTTCATGTTCTCCTCCTATTCCTATTATGTTCTTAGGGTAAGTATATTCTTATACTTGCAGGATTTTCTACAGTCCTCTTGCAGCCTGTTAGAATCACCTGGAAGCCTGTTAAGCTTATGAATACTTCTCTCAGGATGTTTCCATAGCTGCCCCCCTCCCCTAACCAAACTATGAAAGAAAAGTAAATTAACAGTACTTTCAATTTAAGTTACAAGTTTAAAACCCTTTTTTTTCTTTATTTTGGGTGCTAGCTATAGTCTTTTCATACACAGACAACCTACAAATTATTTCTTCAAGTTTTTCTTTTGTTAGCTAGCAAGTGAAAACAAATTATTGCCAATGCTTTAGCTTTTGAAGATACTGTGATGCTGAAAATGTCCAATCTTAATTCAGGAAGTGAACTTAGAAAGCTCAAAACTTAGTAAGGAAATCAATGATTAACTTAAAAATCAATATTAACTTAAAAAAACAGATGCTCTCATAGTTCAGTGAAATTTTTCAGAGAATGCAGAAAAAGAACCACTAAAAAACCTCTAGTATCCTGTCTGCTACCAGCATTCTGGTTCCCAGTCAAAAGGAAGGAAACACTACAGGAACCTCCTATTTCCAGTAGGTAAAAAATAAGCGCTTTGAGGTTGCAATAGGTTAGACACTAATTTTACTACTTACATCCTTACCTATAAGAAAGATAAACAGACATACATGAGTAAGTGGGGTTTGTGAGGGGCTGACAACCTATTTCACTTTGACAACTTGCTAGTATCTACTCAAGTCCAGCAAAGAAATAGAAATAAACAATGTGGTAAAAAACCACATTCCACTCAGCGAGGATGAATTAACAAAGCAGATTGATAATAACTTTAAAATACTCTAAAATAAATAATTTGCATACCTTTTCTTATGCAGAGCAGAAATAGAAGCACTGATCCAACAAAAGCAGTAGCAATGAGAGTTGCTCCAACAAAACGTCTGCTCTCAGTCTGGAGAATGCCATCAGTTGAATCTTCAAGAAAAACAGGTGGGGGATAAGACATAAGATCCTCCCTTTGTATTTAATTTTCATTGTATTATTTTTGCTATGAGCAATTAAGGCATGATAACAACATTAATAGATTGTGTCTAAGGTCAGGTGTTAATGGTACACATAACACTTTTTTAAAAGAAGGCGGGGGGAATATAGAACATATTAATATTTGTCTTTGTTCTCTGCATGTAATAGTGCCTTTGACCCCATCAGAATTCTGCTTGTTAAAGTGTTACATCTGGCTTAGTTTCCCATCAGGATTACAGGAAAAAGGTAATTGAGGAAGAGGACAGAGTCCCTTTCACCTGGTAATGATCGCTCTAAATGCAAAGGGCAAGTGGTCTCCTTGAATCCCAGATATTTTTCTTATTAAAATCAATAAGAATTGAAATTTCCCATTGAAATTTCCCATTCCCATTCTTTCAACTGCCCATTGAAAGAATTACTTGGTTTTCTCACTTTAAACCTGCCTGTTTCAAATCCTTGTCATGTCCAAAAAGTGTGACTGCACAGTGTTTCTAAAAGTAGGTGGTGAACTGAACCAGGGAAATGAGCTCACTAAGTAACAGTCTGACAAAGAGAAATATTATTTTTGAGTTGGATCAGGTCTCCAGTCTGGTTGAAAACACATCAGGCTACAATGCAGAAAAGAATAATCAAAAGCAAAAGCAGCAGAGGAGCTGCCCAGTTAAAAGGTTTAATTAGGAATTGCATTGTCCATTTATGAGTCTTCCTTAAATTCTGACTTTATGAGGAAAAAAAAATCTGTGTAAAATTACTGAAATTTAAATATGCTCAGAGCAAAGGCTGTAGTGGCAGGAACAGACCATATTGTTCAAGTTTATGTGACAGTGATCATCAACAAACTAAAATGTTCTTGGAAGAAGGAAGGATTTAATTTCCAGATGCTGAGTTGCATGTCTTCCAAATAATGGAACTTTTTAAACATTTAGACTCAATATCCACATACCTGCGGGTCACACAAAATTCCTGTCTTTAAATTCTGACCATACATGCATAATGAACATGTTACTATGGTGAAAGTATACATTAATAACAAAACTTAATGACACAGGTATGTCTTTCTAGCCTCTTCAAAATTTGGAAAGAGAAACAAATCACAGCTGATTTGACTGGGACAAAATTACATTTGCACCTTGAAGTGTATTACCATAAACGAAATTTAGAAATGTTACCTGCTATGTGTAAAACGGCAGTTGTATTTTCTTGCAGCTCTTTATTCCAGAATGTACAGTAAAAAATCTCGTCAATTCCACTTTTGATTGTAAGGGTACTTGTCACAAGGTACAGCTGGTCACTTGCAGTTTCAAACCTTGTGTTTGCCTTATAAGTCAAATCTTCATAGTTTCTATTTTGCCATATCACTACAGCTTCTGGGTATCCTTCTGACTGACATGTCAACCTCCATTCATTGTGTCCTGTGCTCACAACACCTTGGTTTATAATTCTGTAAGGAGCTAAACAATTGGGAAAAAAAAAATCATTACCAATAGGATGCTAGAAGAACAGCCTGTATTAAAGGAAGACACCTTTTCTTTTTCCCTAGCCCCCAGGGTCAAGTTTCTGCTGGGACTTTAACAGGAAAAGTAAGTAACACTATTGAGTCTGTAACTGGAGGTACAGGATTTATTACATTTTGATGTGGTTTAGAAGGCTCACTAGGCTTTAAGGTCTTTGTACTCTCTACATGATTTTGCAACCTGATTTCTTGCATGTCATAGGGGATTTAAAGGACAGAACACAGATTCAACCTAAACAGAAGTGCCAAGTTACACAGCTGCACAACTACCATCGGGCAGCTCCTGCCTCCAATACAGTTTCTTTAACTGCTAATCCAGATATATCTTACTTCAGGGTCTCCTCTGAAATCTATTAAGAGTATCAGAGTATTGAATCTCTGGTAGTAGCACACGCACCCTTAACTTTCAGATGGATTGTCTTGTAGTCAGCTCCCCCATAGGCAATAACACAGCGGTAAACCCCTGCATCTCTGAGCTTCACATCAGTGATCTGAAGGAGAGACCGTCCCAAGTTCAGATTCTCTTTCAACAATTTTATTCTTCCCTTAAAGTCAATATGCTGATTTTTTAAGTCTTCCTTTCCTTTGTGAAGTACATAAACCTGCTTCAACCCATCTTTCTTTTCCCAGCTGACACTTAAATCTCTAAACTCTAATTTCCCATTCACTGGAAATGTGCATTCCATGGTGACATTGTTCCCACGTTCCACAATGCAGAGTGACTGAGGAGCTTCAACAGTGAATAAAGCTGAAAAACAAAATTTGGAAGAAAACTCAGTTTTTAAATAATACACCTAATCTTTGAAGTAAGACTTTGAAGTCATGTCTTACCATATCCATAGAAAATTTTAAGGACCAAAGTATCTGCTCTGTTCTGAAAAGTTAATGTATGTTGTTGTCCAAGTGTGTGACAAAACACAAGACCTCTGCTGTAAACACACACAATGGGCACTCCTATCTGCAGACACCTGCTTTGTGCACACACACAATGTGATGCTGTATTAAAAACAGTGAAGTGTATACGCACAGCCCCTCAGCTGTTGCTTTGAGAAAACACTGCCATGGTAACAGGCAAGAGTTCGTAGTGTGATGCTGTATTAAAAACAGTGAAGTAGTGAAGTGTATACGCACGGCCCCTCAGCTGTTGCTTTGAGAAAACACTGCCATGGTAACAGGCAAGAGTTCGTACCTCCAATGGGCATGTTCTGTTTGTATAAGTGCCAGTTGTTTTTTACCCACTATGTTAAAGAATACACAACATTTCCCAGGTTTGATAGAGCCTAGAAAACCTTTGATGTAATGTAGTGGTACCTCATTTGAAATAGTGCCTCTGCTGGAACACTGACAGGGATTTTAACCTGACCCCTTATCAAAATACATGCATCTAGTTTAATGTAAAGCTATGCTTAGACCTTTTCACTTAAAACATTAAGGGGAAAAAACTTCAAATGCTAGCAGCTGAAGGAAAACTGGATAAATTAACATTTCTGTGCTTAGACATGGAAGGAAAACATACTAAAACAGTTCTACTGCTTTTTACAATTCTTACCATTTAGGAAATGCCAGTAGAATAAAAATACATAAAAAACCAAAAGTCTTCCCATTATGTAGATGGAACCTAAAATGATAAAAAATAGGCAAGTATAAATACATACTCATTTTCTGAGTTCCACTGTCAAATACCCTTTATAGTCAATCCTCACAGAGAACTAGACAGGAGACACTGAATTCCACCCTATTTAAAAACAGGATGAAACCGCACCCAGTAGATAATCAGGCAGAAATCTTCCTGTACAGGTGGGTCCAGGAAAAACATCTTACTTAATTTGCTTTAAATATCTGTTCTTGACTATGGCTAAATAGATGCTTTATCATTATCTGTTGATTAGTGAATAAGTACTCACAAATTCCCAGTTGTACCCCTAACTATAGCAGGGAATGTTGCTCCCATCAGGAGAATGAAAGAATATTCTATACTGTCAGTGCAGGAAATAGAACTTGGTTCTTCCCCACCTGTTTGCTTTTTATTTTAACACACTGTGAATACACCCTGCTTTTTTGCCCTGGTCCCACAGTACATACCAGAAGGCTCACAAAGTTACACATATTGTGAAAACAATTAATGCAGTAGTTCATCTCATAACATGTGTTTATGCGATAACAACTATGAATCAACGCTTCACACAATAGTGCCTTTGTAAAACAGTGACAAAGCCAGTCAATCTACAAGCAGAATCTATTGCCTTGAATTTCTGCTGCTTTACCTCTGAATACAAAAGTAATTTCACTTTTCTGTCAGAAGTTTTTCCCCTCTTTACTGGCATAGGTTTTATAGTCCTACACAACATTTTAACATTTTAAAATGCTTATTAATATCAACTGATACATTTAATCTTCACACACCCACTGCTTTTGGTAAGTCTGTATTTTAAGTCATAAATACAGAAAATGGTATCTTTTTTTGCTAAATAAAGTTCTAATTTTGACCCCACAAAAATCCACCAAAATAAGGAAGCCTCGCCTGTAGTTGTTTTCTAGTGGTACCTTCAGAATCTGCATAAGAAATTAGACAACTGTAATGCCCACGACACTTCCTAATTGATGAAGTTCTATCTTGACTGCCATCCTTCACAATTTTTGTTTCATCCTTCTTTCTCTGATTGTCAACTTTAAGATGATAATGACAAAACAATTTTGTCTTGAATTCATAAGACACATGTGCCCTTATAGTGCTATGGCTTAAAGGAACTAGACTCCTTCTAACAATTTGATTCAAGCTACTTCCTTTCCTCAGATTGCTGCTGCCTGATCCCAACAGCCAATTTGCAGCAAGCAATGCATATGGAGAAAGAAAGGCAATCCACTACTTTGTTAACAATGTAAGCATAGTCTGAAAACAGGTGCAGGAAAAATACAAAGAAAATTCTCAGGGGGCAAGATCTGATTAATTGATAAATCCTAGGCTTCATAAAGTGGTTAGGTACCAGTCTTATTCCTTAGCCATAAGTGATGTCCTTGAAAGCACTAGAAAATTGCAGGCCAATCCTGTGGGTTCCCAAGAGCTTCTCTGAACACGTATGCATAGGAATGGCTCTGTCATGATTCCCCTACTAGAGTAACAAGCACACCAGACCACCAATTAATCTCCTAAGTAACACTTCTCAAACAAGATAGAGGTATACCCATCACACAAATGTGCCATAATCACCCTTATTCTGGAGACAAGCCTACACAGGGACTGACTGGGTATTGTGCACTCCCCCATCAGAATGACCAGAGTTGCAGCACACTCAAAATCCTTTCTTCTTTTTTTTTTTTTTTTTTTTTTTTTTTAAGTAGAGGATGTAGACTACTTGTAACAAAGCAGACTGCTTGGACTAGTACACTGCTTGGAACAACAGTATGTGCACTACAGTCAGGATACTGAAAGAGACCCATATTCCTGCCTGCAACCCCTATCCACCATTTTGACTGTAATCCTGCTCTCATTAACTCCTGGAAGACAGATGACAACAAGTTAGCTTTTATAGTCCTAAGACCCATGCTTATGTCCTGCAATTGCTGAAACTTATTAGTATGCTTTCTCCCACTGTAGAGGAAAACAAGCTTTACAATACACAAAATAAGTATGACTATTACTTACAAATTTCCTCAAGACTGAGAAGGTTTGCTGCTGTATTCAATTTTTCACTTTCAGAGGGAAGAAAATGTAAGTCCAGGTCAAATCCAGGTGCACATGCAAAAAGAAAACCACTGAAATAAGCATTATAGAACCTTCTTCTGTTTCACCCGAGCAGAAGAATCCTCCAGATCAGTTTGAGACCTTGACATCAATCAAAGTCCTTCCCTAAAGCTATCTGCTTGCTGTTCTTCTTACAGAACCTACTAAAATGCCCTTTCTGTCCTCCTGCCACCTTCCAACATCTGTGGCAAATAGTTTTTTAAAAGCAAAGTATATTCTGAAGTGTGCAATTGCTCCTCAGTACTGCTGCTGCGTGTTTCTGCCACAATCAAATGAAAAAGACAGGAAAAACCAGAACTATTTGTCAAAGGACTTCATGTGACAACTTAAATGTTAATGTAACTACACCTACTTCTTTAGGAAACTTCCCCATTATTGGAAAGTTCCCCAGCAGGGAAAATTCTGTATTGCTAACAGTGGTTCACTGTAACCAAACACATAAATGCTGCAAAAATTAGAACATAAAGTGCCATGGGCATTTTAAGAAACACATAATCCAGTCAAAACTATGTGTGAGCACCAGTCCTTGGAACACCAATTGCAAGTGGTCATCCATTTACACAAACTCAGGGTCCCTAGATTATTAATCTCAAGCCATGCCAAAAAGCTGCTAACAACAACCAGAACTTTCTACACAATTTTCTCATGTCTGTAAAGGTCATAGGAATAGAAATAATGTAGGAATAACAGGAAAAGCATTTCCTAACCTCCTCTTGTAAACTCAGGTATTGTCTTCCCAAGATTTGGACACAGTGAAGGCCCCTTGGCTTGCTACTGTGTAGCAAAAAAAGAGTTCTTAATCCTATGTACTATGTTAGCAAAAAATAGAGAGCACTGTCTTTTTCATTTTCTTGATTCTAGAAGAAATCAAAAAATAGAGAGCACTGTCTTTTTCATTTTCTTGATTCTAGAAGTCCTTTAAAGAACAGAACCCCCCTCCCCCCTCAAGTGTTAGAAGCAAAAGGATGTACTCACATTAACTTGTAGACTGTAGATGGAGAATTGAGTCAACAACACAAAATACAGCTCTAAACATATGTTTCAGAGTAAATTAATTCTCCTAAATTGTCTTTACATACACCAGAAAAGGGTTGAAATTCTCAGAGGACTTAAAATACTGTAAAATGAGCACTCTAAAAATTTCTGTTTTCTTCTTTCCACTTGACAGCTTGCTGACAGTACCTGTCATGGAAGAAAAACCACGTAATGTACAAACTGATTAAGGTTAATGTCTTTACTTGAGGTGTGAGATGAATGTGGAAACCGTGGTATATAAAATAGCTGAATGTAACATTTAGGTTGTAACAACCTGAAACTACCTTAGGAGATTGAGGGGGTGGATATTCGCAGTAGGTGAGACTGATAAATGTAAATTTCCACTGTTTTTTTTTACTTCTCTTAAAAATAGGCTAAATTCTATTGTCTCAGTAAAAAAAAAAAAAAAAAAAAAAAAAAGTGGAACAGAAGAAAAGTGATACAGATTTATAAAATGCTGTGAGATCATAGAAGCCACCTTTCAATGCAGTGACCTTTCAATGTCAGGAAATTGGTTTCTGCTTTTTCATTGCTTACCTTGAGGTCACAGGGTTGCAATTTTTTATGTAAATTTTTAGCAGCAAATAAAAGACCAGTACAGGTGGCATTTTGTTTTGTTGAGTTTCTTTTTGTTCTTGTTTAATTATGTTGTTTATATACACATACTCATATATATATATATACATATACATACACATCTACAGGCACATAAGCACATTTTACTGCACAGTTCTACAATGTAGTGGTGGAGTTTGAGTTTTGGCGTTTTTTCACCTGTTTTGCAACAAACTTCCCAGACACCTATCTCAGCCGTGCCTGCCTTGGGGCATTCCCAAGCAAACCTCAGGGCGGGATGAGGTCGGTGCAGCACCGGGACGGGCCCCGGCCGCCGGCAGCCCCGCGCCCCTCAGAGCTGCCGTCCGGCTCCTCCCTGCCCGCCGGCTCCTCCCTGCCTGGGCTCTCTCCGCGGCCCCGGAGCTGTGCGGAGCGTCTCCCACCCCACCTCGGCCGGGCCCCGGTCGCCTCGGGTGTGTTCCGGCCCCGGCCCCGGCCCCGGCCCCGGCCCCGGCCCCGGCCCCGGCCCCGGCCCCGGCCCCCCCGCTGCGGCCGTGGCACTGCCGGGAACTGGTCCCGGCCACGACCCTTCGCGGAAACCCGTACCGAAACCCCCAGAGCCGTGCTCCTACGCCTCACGGTTCCCAGCGCTTCAGCCGTGGCGGAACAGGGAGTTCTCCAGGCAGCTTCTCTGTTCCTGAGAGCCTTGAGCTCTAGAAAACAAAACCAAAAGCAGCATCAGTACCCCTCCCTCACCCTGCTTCCCTTGCCTTTTCCTTATCCTTTCTTTTTCAACATGGTGAGATCATTTTATTCACTTTCTAAACGGATGGCTTGCATGACTGATGTGTACTCATGCAGAGGATGACTGTTGTCAAAGGACTGGAAATTACAGTCATCCAGGATAGCCATAAATTCCAGGAGCTATGTCCTGCTTCTCCAGAGACAAAGAAGCAATTTATTTAAATAGCTCTGCTTCCTGCCGCTTAAAGAGCCTTCTGGGAAACAAACCTCCAATTTAACAACATGCTAATATGATCTGGACGTACGATGTTGTGCATAATTTTTTTGCTGCAATAATGTTTCTTATGTTATGAAACATAAACCTAACAAGATCTCAGCTGTAACTCTTCTGTGAGAGAGCAACCCCGAAATAAGGATATTAGTCAAGATATTACCAACGAACCAAACAGCGGTTGTGAGAGCGGTTTACTAATGAGTGTATTTACAGGGTAAAATATAAATCAAATAAAAAATTCTGATCCCTGATAGCATACACGTCTCAGAGGTGTATACTGAAGGAGGGGAAGGACACCCAAACCCTTGTGCTCTCTATGCTCTAAGCATCAGGTACTGCCACCTGCAGTATGAAGTTAATGGTTTTGTTAATGCCATAAGCCAGCAGGTGTCAGAGAAACCACAGGAATCCCTACCTAGAAGCCATCGGGATTTCTGTTGATAAAGCACATTGATGTGGAGGTGTTTAACAGCAATCAGTTTAATTGTGTTCAAATCTTCCAAAAACATACAACATGAGTCCCTCAGAAAGAAGGATGTAGATATTAGGATATGCAGTAAAAACTTTGCACACCCCTCACATGTACGTCCAGACAAAGACTGCTGTCCCTGCTGCTTCCAGGCCCTTCCCAGGGGATATGAGCCCAACAGAGACACATCTCCACAAGCACAGAGAAGCACAGAGGTCTCAAGGCAGGTAGGAGTACAAATAAAGGACTTGGAGGAAGCTCATATTTTAATAAGCTTCAAATTGTTTAGCAATAAACACGACATTTGTAAATGGACACAGCTATGTGGTGTACATGAGGTACAAAACAGCCATGAACCCAGACAAAATAATGATAAGCCAAGCTGTGAAGTTCCTTTACAGTAAGAACAAAAAATTACTACAGAAACATTCCAGAATGAAGTGGAAGCTTCTAGTTTATGACAAATACTTTAAGTTAACTAAGAAGACCAGATAACATAGGGACTTCCCCTACAGCAATCAAAAAAATGCTGTGTCAAAACTACAGGCTTGTTGTAGTTCTGTGTAGCTGCTAGGATTTTTCTTCACACAACTCCTATTTTCAAAAGTCAAACAGTAAAACAAAAGCCCAGGTAAAAATCTACAAGATTGCAATCATCTTTCTTCAGTAATGTAAAATATTAGCAATCTGGATAGTTTTGCTGAACATTCATTCCTAAAATATTTTTAAAAAAATTACTGTCACAAGTTAAATAATTAGTTATTATAGGGTTAAAATGTCTTACAGACATCTATGTTTACCGTCAGTAAACTTCTAGCATACTTAAGTAAATATACTGTGGTAAAACAAGGAAACTGGCTTGTAAAATGCTACAAATTCAGAACATTTATCTTAAATTTATTTCTTCAGTTTCTTTCAAATTAACTATTTTGATTGATAGATTTTGGAATTCAATTTTGTAGAGAGTCTTTCAAGTTCAATGAAATCAGTCAGGCAGATTGATAGAGATATATTCTACTTTTCAGATACTAGTTCTGCAGGCTGTGTCTAGCATGATATATTTCCTTCTCAATCTGGATTATATAATTGAAGAGAATAATGATTTGTTTAACATCCAAGTCATTATAGTAAAATTAAACTGATGCATCCAAGTGCACTACATATAATGAAAAGAGGAAGAACATTTGCTTTCTTTCAAATATTTCTTCTGGTTCTAATTCTCTGTTCCTCTTTCTTCCTCATCTTGTAAAAATCACAAATAAATTACATAATAAATATCTGCATTGGCACAAATTATAACTATTTCAAATTTTTGTTGACTTTTTCTGTTGGGTATCACAGTCAACATTTCCAAGGTTCAATTATTTTTGGACCAGCTGTTTGTGGAGAAAATACACCCTGTAATTTAAATACTATTTTTTTAAACATGACAAGAACAAAGGAGACATGACTGCCTATCAAATGGATGCCAGATTTGTGTTACTATGAAATGTCTTTATGACTTTGCGTCAGTCTTTTGTAACGGCAAAAATACCTGTTGCTTTCTGGACTAGAGAAATACTGCCTACCTTCAGAAATGCTGACAATCTAGCAGCACCATGCAACAGAGCATGCTGTCTGATTTTTTCCTGTGGTCCCCATACCATGACCTGACAGACTGGGAATTGGAACAGGAGAGGCTATATCCCCCACGTGGTGCTATGATTATTTACAGCATCAGTGGAATCACATAATTCACTTCATGTCCGGAGCCGCAAAGTGGTACCAACAAAGAGAGGCAAGAGCTGCAGCCCCTGCTGCAGGTGGGCTTCTGCCAGTCTGTGAAGTCTGATGTAGCTCAAACCAGCCTCCCTTCCACAGGCAAGAGTCACAGTGGCTTCTTATGCCCTATGGAAACTAGTGTCCATTCTCTATGCTACTTCTTAAGCCCTAGATCCTTTCTTCAGAAACCTGTACTGTTTTTCTAGCAGTAAGTCACAGTTCTGCCCCTCCACCTCTGCCTTATCTGTTCCTGTGTTATTAAAATCTGCTGCCCCATTGTGCTAACTCCTCCACAGAAAGCAGATCTCTGTAACTCAGAGGTTTGCCAGAGCTGCACTACAGACATCTACTGCGCTCTGAAACTCCTTTCTCCTCAAGGAACGATTTGCACAGACCAGAATGGTTTACTTGGTTACAAGAGGCTCAGTGGGTGAAGATGGATGGTATCTTTGGTAACCTGCTTTGAAAGAACATTATAGTGTCACAAATTTATCAGTGAGACACCCATCAGTCACCGTTTTCTCTGAAGTCTAGTTAAATACCTGCCAGTGGCTGCCAGTGCAGTAGTGCCATCTTGCGTGGAGCTGGTGTATATCAATAAATTTCTCCCCTGGATCTCTGCTGCATCAGAGATCCAGGGGAGAAATTAAATACTTGTTGAACACATCAAAAAGTCACAGACATTTTCAAAATATCACAATAGTTCAAGTTCTTTATTTCAAGTTTTTTACTTCAAGTAAAAACACTAAGCAAGTTTCCACAAGAGAAAAATAATTTATTTCTTACTTTTTTCTCATTTTTGCTCTACCAGTAACAAAAAAAAAACAAAAAAAAAAAAAAAAAAAAAAAAAAAAAAAAAAAAAAAAAAACAAACAAAAAAAGGGAAAACAGCTGGCTTCTTCGTGGTTTTTTGGTTTGTGGGTTTTTTTTGTTTGTTTGTTTGTTTTTAAAGAAAACTATTTTTAAAATGCCTGAATTTAGAAACTAAGTATTGTCAAGAACAGCATTTGCAGTTCAAGATATCAGCAGATTGAAGGAGTAGACTGTTTCTGGAAAAAATATTAATTCTTGCAGTAAGACAAGATGAGCACTTGCACTATGATTTGGTGTTTGAAGTGCCGTGTATCCTCACAGACTCAAGCTGGAAAACTGAATGAGATACTCTTTAGTGCCAAAAGAATTCTGGATATTAGAGCATGCTGTTAATATTATCAGGGCTGTAGATTTGATCCCCGTATGGGCCATTCACTTAGGAGTGGAACTTGATGATCCTTGTGGGCCTCTTTCAACTCAGAATATTCTGTGATTTTGTAATTCTAGCACTTATTTGTATCACTGTTGTAAAGACCAACTGACAGAGCATAATTTCTGACTCAGTATTTTTAAGTATGAAAATTTAGTTTCTTTCAAAGCCAGCCTGTCGTTATGGGTGATGATGTCATGAAAACATTCTGGCACATGATAAAAGGCAGAACAAGATAAGAACAAGATAAGATTAAGCAACAAAGGCATTTTAATTCCTTGTTCCTTACATGCATTGCCTACATGCATCACCCCCGAGTGGTGAGCCTACCAGGGCCTGTGCATCTGTTCATATGAGATGGGTTTCTTCAAATTTCTCGGGATAGTTTCTGTGGCCGAAGAGGGGGCGGTGGGGAGGGGAGGAAGAGGGGGCGGGAGCCAGGACAGACGGCTCCCGGGGCGCTCTCCTCATCCTCGCCCGGTTCCCCCGGCTTGCCGGCATCGTGTCTTCTGCGCTGCAGGGCGCGATGGGGCTCGTCTTCTCGAAGGCCATGAAGGACAGCCTGAAAGGGCAGCAGGAGTTTATGCGGCTCCCGGTAGCAGCGAGGCCGGCGGCGGTGCGGGGGAAGCCCTGCCGGGGCGCTGCCTGCGCACGGCCGGACTGGCAGCCTCCCCCGCTCAGCTCCGCTGTCCTCCCGGGCTTAAAGGCGCTCCGTTTACGTGCTCCGCCAGTTCCTGTGTGCTTACCTTGTGCAGCAGGTTCAGGTGTGTAAAGCACCTGTTCTCTGTGTCAAAGGACAGCCTCGACAGTCTGCCTTAACAAATTGTAGAAGTGGAACCCGTCATTAAAGTAGCCAGACCCTAAAAGCAGTTTTGGAAACCTACTTTGAAAAGTACATCTATGCTGAAGCTGAGCTGTCTTACTGCACTGTAACACTGCAGTGGTAAGAAGCATGTACATGTTAAAGTGAAGTTTTTGTGGTTTTTTTTTTTTTATTTTTTTTTTTTAAAGAAAGTCATAATGGAGTTGCTAAAACATGGATCTTATACTTTTAAAATATATGAGTTAAATATGTTTCAACTCTTTCACTATTAAAAAATCTTTTAAACAGTTCTTTCTTTAAGTTCAATCAGGTAACTGCAGCTGAATTTTTCTAGAAACCTCAGGCTAGGGCATGGGGATGTTTTATTCCCTCTCATAAAAATAAGAAAATAACAGCAGAGAAAAAGGAAAACCAGTTTGATTAGGTTTCAGAAAGTTGTGCTGAACAGAGCTACAGTATAGCACTGTCTGATTTGTTGTTGAATATCTTGTAACTTACTCGCAATATTTATATGCCAAGTGCTAGAATGCAATCTGAAGGATTTAGCTGCAGTTTGTTCCTTTAGTTTTGCATTTAAATTGAACACAGGTAACATTTTTAGAATGTTTAAAGTAGTGACA